TTTTCCCGGCAATTATTCAAATTTTTCTCACCTTTTACACCTTCCCTGGACCTCCAGGAGTATCTCAAGACTAAAATTAGCCAAATTCGTTCAGCCGTTCTCGAGTTTTAGCGAGACTAAGGAACAGCAATCCATTTTTATATATATAGAAGATATATAAAAAAATATTTTCTGTTTTTTTGTATACAGATACCATATTATGTTTTCATTTAGGCATTAATGTTATATTACTGGAAATTTATATTACGAAATTAGGTTTGGATATACTGTTAATATATTATAATAAATCAAAAATTATATAATTGTGACGATTGTTTATTGATGCTATTATAATTAAAATATGTATTATGATACTATTAATGTAACTATGCTTTTTATTTGATGATTATAAAACAGACATACATATATTTTATGTTTAACATAAACAAAAATCAGTTTCAACATTATTTATAAAATATATGAAGTGCTAAATCAAAACTAATTTTTTGTCCTAACAATTACTTATACTAAAATCGCCCTAATTTAAAAAAAAAATACTTTTATAAAGTAATAAAACTTTTTCCTATCAACGGGAAATTGTAGAAAGTAATCTATAGAGTATTTGGTAACATGACGCCACAGAAAAGCAACCGGCTGTAATGGAAAAAAAAAGAGGGAAGTATAAAGAAAACGAAGGCGACATCACGTTCTCAATTCACAGAGATAAATGGTGGCCAACAAACGTACGGACGGCAGCTACATATATATATAGTTAGTGGCTCTGCTGTGCCCTTGTTCGCAATCGATAGTTCAAAGAACCTCCTCCCACCGGCCCACCCCCTCACAACGCAGACCACAGCCAACTTGTTAGAGATACAGTCACTACTGACTACTGTTTATTTGTCATACGTATTGGAAGTATACACTAAGTGACCAGCCGGGGATTACTGTTTGAATAGAGGAATGTTAATATAAAGTAGTACTGATATCTTTTATCAGTCACGTGGATATAAGAATGGCATTAAGAATGGGTTAGCTGTTATTACTAAACTTTAATATAATGCATTCACTCGTTTAAAATTTTTAGTATGCTATAAAATATTATAAAGCAATCCATTCGGCAAATTTGAAAGTAGCGAGGTTCTTCCTAGAATAGGTGTCGCCGTATGTGATCGGAATAACAATCGCGTAACAAGGTTTGGTTCCGTTCGTGATGAAACTTACATCTAGCCGACTCGTACCTGCTCGCCTTTGATATTATGAGAGAAGAATGCTCCTTGGACTCCCTTTGATACTTAGAATGAAAATAACTTTGGCAAAAAAAACAATATAGCTCTAATGAAACGCGATATTTGATGTAATATAATGAGAATTTTTTTGATCTTGCTCCGTTTGTGAAATTCTTCAGATTAGATCTGATAAAATTTTGTCTCGTCACAAAAATTTTATTATCTAGAAATTATTAAAGGTATTCATATAATTTAGTTAATTTATAATAAATTAAAAGACTACATAGTTGATTTATAATAATTGTTCAATAACTATTTAATATTTATTGAATATTGGTAAAAAAAAATTACGAACCTGTTTTATTTTTGTTCTTATTTTATCATAAAACTATTTACGTTTAAATTAAAAGCAGACGTATAGAATTTCATTTATCATTTGTTTTAATTTAAATCTAAAGCAAGGTTTACTCACGACAACTTTATGTATATCTTATCTCCCTCAAATGAAAGAAGACATTTTTCTTCTTCTACCTGGCAATTTTTCCCAGCTATAGCCAGGGTCTGCCTAACATGTTGTAAATGGTTTTGGCTATTTGTTTTTACGACCGGCCGCCTGCCTGACATCAACCCTCTTTTTGGGAATCAACATTAATCAGTGATGTCTAAATATTCTTAGAAAGTACATATGATTCGGAAACATCACATTGTCTTTGCCCGGGCCAGGATCGAACTCGCGCCCTCGGCAAATGAACCACTGAGCCACCACTGACTGAAAGAAGACAATTTTTATAAAGAAATAAATAATATATTTTTCATCTGTCTGTTTGTTAAGATGCTTCTCTGTACGGACGGGCAGTGATCGGTAGTGTTTCAATTAAAACTTTCCCCGGACAGCGGCCGCATCACTTACAATGTTGTACCCGGATAGTTTCTCTTTATGGATATTAATATTTTATTTATACACTGTCGGCGTTTTTTATACATTGTTTTAGTTTGGACTTTAGTTTGTAACAACTACAAACTTTGTATAGAACTAGCGGTGAACTGAACGGGTTCCCTGTCGTTTGAAATGAAACTTATTCACTTGAAACTTTATATATTTTTTTAGTTCAGATAAAAATATCTAACGTAAAAGTTTTTATAAACATCCGATAATGTCCAAACTGGATTTATCTAGTTAATGTTATACATAACCGCTTGGTGTTTTCAATTCGACGAAATTTTTTTTTTTTGGCATGTTTTATTATGAGATAACACATAAATATGAATGAATTTCAAGAGATTCACTTTTAAAGTTCAATAAGACTTACTTTTGTAATAGTTTATCTATACGCCTTATATTTATTTTGTTTTGTTAATTTTTAATATTGATTTCGTCACGGTTTAATTTTTGCATTGTCTTTCTGACGTCTTCCATATGATTCTCACAATGATTCTCGAATGTATTATATACATATTTAATTAAATCTCTAAATATACATATGGATATATAATTGTCAAATGACTGGCGTCAATGTTCTTGATGATATTCTTATTCGTTGATAATTTAGTATCAAATATAATACAGTCGTATTTGCTAGATGTTTGTTTTTATTTGAATATTCATTTACGATATACACCTGGCACACACACTTATACGTATCTGATAAGGGGAGATGTGTGTGTATGTGTGTGTGCATAGTCGACACAATACTTGTAACGTCAGAATCGTAAAGTTTACATTGTCCGTACAGCGTTTTATGGATCGTAAAATATTGTCTCCTTAATGCTATAAAAATAATCTTTTGGAGTGTTCCCGGAGCGATATGCGGACTTTATGTCCTCTTACTATGTACGATACGGTTATCACGACTTGGTCGTTTATAAAACACATCACCGGCTATTAGATGTGCGGATGATCAGGGGCTCGTGCTTAGAGATTTGGGGTAGGGTGAGCAGAATATATGGTTTCAAAAAATTACCAATTTTCAACAATTCCACTACCTTCTAATGAGTTCGAACGCAAGCCAGGACGATGATCATTTGATGTTTGCTTGTTACTGCTCGAATTATACTTAAAAAACGTTTGTTCTCAGAGACTCTTTCACAAAGTTTTTGAAAGAATAATACTAAGTACATGGGTTGCACACCAAACATGGTACGGGAGTGTGCATTTTATGTTTTAATAACACCTGAACTATGTTAATCTGTGGAGATAAAAACTTTGCCACATGCTAAGTTTGAACAATTCCTCTAAATCATAAATTCCTCAAAAACATTGATAATATTCGGGCATAAACTTACAGCAGTCCGATCAGAAGTAACATCTATATAATTCTTCTGTGAGTGTGTGTGTCACTGAACTTCTCTCAAACGACTGGACCGATTTTGATGAATTTTTTTTTGTGTGTTCAAGGTGATCTGGGAATGGTTCAGATTCACAATTTTGTCTTTTGGACAATGTTTTTTAAATTAACTTTTGATTTATTAGTAGTTGTTGATACAAACTTTCTTTTTGACATTAGATTTTACAACTAACTAATATGTCAATCATTCTGTCGCACTTCAAAACACGGAGATTTATGGCTTTAATAGGTAAACTCCTAAAATATAAATAAAAAAACGTAACAGATATTTCTTGATTATAGGGCGATACGAAGTTCGCCGGGCCTTCTAGTATTTTATAAATCTATCAATTACCTCTGAGCCACGAAAGTACCTTGAAAAGTTTACGAGCGATTCGTGTCCTCTGATATCAAGAGTTTCATAGACCGTAATAGCGAGAAAACGGTTTCGCTTATTTCTTTTTTTATCTCTAGCTTACATTACGAACGAAACACTAGGAAATTAAATCATTTTTGAGTTCTATATGATAACCCCGCGAATGATTTACTAGATGTTGACTGTAAATGGAAATATGGCGTTTCAACAAGGCAAATTGGTTTAATTTTATGATGAAGTGAATTCGTCATGACCGCGGAAAGCTAATTCTTGATTAACTAGAAAGCAAACTACACCGATCAAAGGTTTCGAAATGTTTTTTTTTCCCTATCAACTTTCACATTGTGTCATTCAATGTCTAACTGCTTATTTAAACTAAGTTTTTAAACTTTTCCAAGTTGGGAACTTTAAACAAGAATCTATGTGTTTTTCTGATAGTTTATGCTTGGCAGCATCTTTATGAAAACTATTTAAATTCTTATATCCAGTTGGGATCCAATGTTAGTATTCTTCTTCTTATAATATAATAACTTATAATAATTTATTGAAAATAATAACTTATTTTTTGTACACAACCTGGCAGCCAGTTATAAGTATCATAATACTTTTTATTAAAACAATGAGTAACATCATCTCTTCTTAAAAGATTAATAAAAGTATTTTTTAAATTTTTCGTCGAACGACAACTTTGAAAATGAGCTTTTTATTAATTGAGATAAACATACAACACCACTAGCTCATAGCTGTAATTATCCCCAATTTCTAAAACTTATACATTTGTGCTTAGAAAGAAAAAAATATTAGTAACGCGTTCCGACAAATTAAACAGTCCCTTTCATTTGAAACATAGTTGTCACACACACATGCAAATATTTTTTGCATGCAATACGACCTTTGTTTTTGTAGAACGTCTTTTACAATAATTGTATGGAGAATATGCTCTAAGTAGTAGTGCTTATCGTCACTTAGATCACATAAATCATGAATTAAATTTATATATTGAATGTCTGAAAACCTCCGTATTACGTAATGTATGATTAAAATGTATGTAAGTAAGATATAAACAATTTAGGTTTTGTCGTTTTGTCTCACCCGACACAATTGCGAGCGAGCACTCGCAACATTCGCTTGTATTACGTGTAGTTGATGTGGCCGCGCGGTTACGGACCGTGTCTTGCATAGTGAATAGAAAATATTCTGAATGTACTCTACATTTAGATGTTCACTAAAAACTTTATACCGTACACTACATTTTATGTTACTGATAGTTGGCATGTTGTATGACTATCTAAATGTATGTATGTCTGTTCCAGGTGACCAGTGACAGTCGGACGTCGTACACCCTAAAGTGTACAAGGAGCCAGCGCCTGTGTGCGTGCGTGCGTGTGTGTCAGTGTGTGTGCGTGTGCGTGTGTGTGTCGGTGTACCCGTGTGTGTACAGTGACTGTGGCAGTGTGTGTGCGTGTAAAACGCGCGTCCGAAGTGGCGCCGACGCAAGCGTCAACTCAATGCCGGTGTGCCGATGGATCGGTGATCACAGCCTGACTACGTCACAAGAGCAGCGCTGGTGAGTCAATATATACATACGTTTAAAAAAATACACCTATACAATATATAAAACATGACCACTCACAGTTCAACGGTAACAATATAGTATGATTATTATGAATTTAATTTCTCGTCACCAAGAAACTCTCAACTTTGAATTATGCTCTTCATGTATTTTGAACTTTCATAGTACAAGTATTGAGGTATTAAACAATGTTGTAACATGGAAACATATTTATTAAAAATGTCAATGAGATCGTCAACTTAAGTGCCATCTATGACAAATTAAAACGATACTTTTGTAATAATAATACATTACCCACAGCTGTTTTCTTCATACAGTTAAAGTAATAAGTAACAGATATAACATTAAGTATATATATATTTCGCGTAGTTTCGTGGAAAAGCAGCGTTTATTTCAAAACGAATTTGTCATTTTAGGTAGAATTTGTGTGTACCATCCGCCCACCTCTAATTAGAGAGATCGCTGACTCACAATTGGCTCCACGAATTCTTTTATCATGCCTTAACATTCATTACGAATGACTGTTAAATTTATCTCAGACATATGTTTTTTTTTATCTTAACTAACTGTATAGTTTGTATATAATGTTACAATCATAATTTCTTAACAAAATCGTATGAAATTTAAATTGAAAGTCTTACGTATTTGTGATGTTTAGATTTTGACCAAATTAACAATTATTGGTTTTAAAGTAAGGAAAGTTATAAAGAGATGAGTAAAATTAAGGAAAATGTTCTATTCCGTAAGATAACTCATAATAATGGTTCCTTTATATTAATTACATATTGTCATGTGATTTACGTTTTGTTTTGTTAAATTTCATACATAGCCGGCTGACCTGTTACTAAACAATTACAATTTTAACAATAATGTTGATATTATTTTATATTAAAGAAACTACATGATATAATTCAACCCTTGAATATCACGGCTTTCATTAAGATCTGTCATGAAATGAACAGATATGTTCGTTTAATATATACCTAGTATATATGTATATATTTAATATATAATGCATGTGACAGTAACGTCAGGAGGGTGACTATAATTAATACCTCCTCAAGGTCTTAGTCGTCTGTGCTCTGTGTCTGTGTCTCCGTCTGTGTCTGTGTAGGCGGAGGGCGGCCACGTTCGGGTTTAAGTTACGGCCCGGCTAATCGATACTGTGCTACTTAGTTCTGTGTCAATTGATGGCTTATACTTATATAGAGGCTTTGAGAAGATTTTAACTTTACTGTATAGATTTATTTGAACTTATCTGCCATATATTTTGTATATGATTCTTAATGAAATTACTCTTTTGATAAATATGTTTAGGTTCCATTCCATTCATATATAATTATTATCTATATGTTGCTAAGATATTATAGCTAAGTTATTGTTTTAAATGTATTTAACAGAAAATGATTACATATACCGTAAGTCGTAATTATTATTGAATCGTGACGTATTAATAGGACTGATCGGAACGAAGTATTATTGAACCGTTGAGGTTAGTAGAGTTGAATGTTGAAACTAATTGATTGAAATAAAGTTATTATACTAGTTATAGTCTTTTATAATGTTCAGACGTAATATGATATAGTAATACATTTGTTTGTGTGCGTGCATATATACACATGGATATGTGTGTGTAATGAGTAAAATATTCGATTTATTAACTCAAAACTTGTTTTAGATTAATTAACAGTGTAATATAATGAGGCAATATATTATATATAAATACTACATAATAACAAATGTCTACTATAAATTTTGTATTTCTGCAATTAATCAAACTTAATTTTAAAACTAACGAGAGGCTATTTATTGTGTTCTTTAGGAAATTAAGAAACTTTTTTTAATTCATTGACTAATAAAAAATAAATAAGGTTTCAAATAATAGTAATCACTAATCATTGTTTTTTCTTCATTAAATGTGAAACTTACGTTCCTTAAAAATAAAAGTATAATTTTTTTCGAAGGATTAGTAACGGTAAAAAAAATTTTGAAAAAATATTTTGTTTTTATAGTAAAATATTATAAGATTTTAAAATAAGAAATCAATAACTATTAACTTTATTTATATGTTTCTGTTTATATTCTGTGAAATTATATATGTATATAAATTTAATTATAACAATATGGTTTATAAGTCATTACAAGCACATATAGTAATAATTCAATGAACAGAGACACTTACCAATGTTATTATAATTGTTATTGCTACACTAACGTCTGTGTTTTATAGCCATCGTCAGCACTAGATAACATCCATATTAATTTATTAAACTAATGTTAATTTTGTGTACTTTTAGCTAAAAGTAATTATGTCTAGGAATATATTAAATAAGTAATTTAACTAACGCCTATCAACACGTTATTTTCAAGTATTCTTATCACTATCGCGTTTTATACAAGTTAGTCATGTTTGTAAATTTCATTAATTGTCGAGTTTTTAATGTATACGACATATATACATACAGATAAAATTCTATTAATCTATTAGTAAATAGTCGAGTAAAAGTTTTGCTAGACTGTGACCTTGACACTGAATAAAATAATATACAGCCCACATTAGATCTGAAGTAGGTCGACCTTCATACAATACACTCATAAGTGGAGAAATGGCTCTGTCGATATGGAAATGAATACGGAGCAACCGTCTGTACTGAGCTTGATGGACCTATTACACTACTGAGAATACTACTCAATATATAAAGAGAATCTTATGAGGATTTGGATAGTGTTTTAATATAATGCTGCATAGTTTGAAATTTTTATTAGAATATATTGCGATACAATTAATATTTGTAAACTTTATTAACATGATACTATTTTTATTTGATACTATATGCGCCCCGCGGTGTTACCCGCGGATTTCCGGGATGTAAAGTAGCCTATGTGTTATTCCTGGACGTCGGCTTCCTGTATACGAAATTTTATCAAAGTCGGTTCAGCCGTTTGAGCGTGAACAAGTAACAAACATACACACACACTCTCACAAACTTTCGCAATTATAATATTAGTAGGATTGTATGTGTACATTTACATAAAATGTACATAGAAGTATTATATCGTACAGATAAACTATTTATAACATAAAACTTTATCAATATCGTATCTTCATAATAAAAGAACAATAATTATCATCATCCATAACAATAATTCGTTGAATTAAAAATTCAAATCTAAAGTCTACAAGGCGGAGTGTAATCTAATCAGTGAAAGCCCAGCTGTTCGTTAGACGTCATATATAAATGACATATTAAATTATATCAGACACTTAAAATTATGTTTCTGCTCTAGGTGAAATGAGAGCTGCCAGAGCAACAACGATTTGTGAAACACAACCCTAATGAAATTGAAATTGTGAGTAGTCCTGTTGAAAGTACGATACAATGATAAACAGTTCACATACTAGCTAACTTACCGGCTTTTACTGGCCTTTAGATCAGCTGGCTGGCACGGCTACTCGATATAACAGCTGCATATATAATATTGTTGGAAGGTTCTGAATATGTGTGCTTTTATGTATATCACACGTGTATGTTAGTGTATACCTCATAACTGACACGATCACAATAAAATTGTCAACATGTATAGTAGTTCATATGCAATTTAAAGTGAACATAAAAAATATATATAGAAAGGCTTGTGCTATAGAATTATATTTTTTAGTCTCATATCACCTCATATATGAAACTTTTGGCCGCATTGGATATCTTCCAAGATCCTTTGGAAAAGTGTTTAGCGACCCCCCGCGGGGTTCACGAACTGCCGCGACGTTATAACATAACGTGGATACTGCATTGTGACTGTTACGTTTAATAAATACTATTGCATTATACAATTTTATGAACTTTGTATTGTATATATATGAGAAACTATTGTGCGTTTTTCATGTAATAATTAACTTAATTATAAAATTGAAATCATTGTGTTATAATTAATGAATGATTTTATATCTGTAATATACTTAGACATTTTTTTTTTTATTATTAAACAGCAATTTATTTACTCCGCTAGACTTCACGTACATTTCAAAGCAACCATTTTGCTATATGTAGATGTAAAAGTTATTTAATAAATATGGAGTCTCCGTTGAATATTTCATTAAACATGCTTCGATGTTGTTTGCAGGTGACGCGCTGCGGAGCGGTGATTAAAGCGGCTTTGCCGCTTTAAATGGACAAACGCAAGATGCTGCCAAAGAGAGCGCGCATGGATAGCATGCGGGGTCCCATCGCTAATGGACCACTGCAGTCGAGGTACATATATACATATATATACAACACACGCAAATAATACACAGCTTACATTACTAGAAACTAGAGCTCTGTTTTATTGGCTAAAATAATTATATTGCAAATGTAATAAATACGTTCCACGCGACCAGCATCTTTGGCTATAGCTACTACACTACATACATATAAATAGTACTATACTCTAGTCTTACTACTTACTATGTTTTAGATAAGGAAAAGAAAATGTGTCCGTATTATAAAATAGTATAAAGGAAAATATTTATCACATTATATTGTGTTAAACATGAATCGTAATAGTCGTATGATTTCCGAATCCAATAAAAACAATTTAACACATATTACACACAATTTTTATTGGTTTCTGTTTTCGATGTTTAACTTGTAAATAATTCCTTTGAAGTATTATATATTTTTTTTATAATAGCTTTATATTTGTCGCTATACGTGAGTTAACCTTTCCGACCGATCGAGAAACTTCAGCTTACGGTTGAGATTACTTAATTGAGAGTTTAATCAAATGTAGCAGAAATCCAATTAGGGCGACCCTTTAATCGGTACAATATTACGATAACTTGGTTTATGTGTTAAAGTTTTGTTACCCACTACTCACTAGTTACTTGTACATCATATAACGCTTGACTGGATCTGTTAAAGTTAGATTTAATAATATTATAATATTTGTATTTATTTTATTTATTCATATGTTCTTATTAGAAGTCGATTATGTGTCTCGTACTGTGAAAGACTGAAATGCCTAGATTTTTTGTAAATATTTATGGCAGCTACGTTTTTATGTGTGAAGAAAAATTTTTTATTTTGTCGGTTAGACGCTGTAGTGTAGTCGCGTGTTCGAATTCACCATTATATGGATATACATTTTTAACACATTTAAAATATAAACAAGTAAACTTTGACATAATTGATTAATTACACCGATGTCATGACTAAACCTTTTATTTAAAGACTTATATAAACTAACATATAATTCCATATATGTATATATAAATATCTATAAATGTGTATATGTACAGATGTAGGTTTTTGATGTCGGGACTTGATGGATTATTTTTGTCGTATTATAACGTAAAAATATTTTTTTTAAATTGAAAACGGTCAAAAAATTTTATATGTTATATGTATAATATTCTATGACGGTTTGTTATCAAAAGTAAATTAAATGTGTTAGTTTTTTTTTAATATAATATATAAAGAGTGGCGCGTTTCATTCCAGTCCCCGCCTTGACCCATCTAACGTTTCTATGACAGTCTGCAATGCAGCTTTGCTTTCAAATATAGAGAGAAATTATTTCTATTCAACGAATTAACAAGTCGGTTAGCGCCGGCTACGGTTAGTGCGACTGGGTCGATTAAATCTCAAACGACAGTTTTAAATTTATTTCAAAGATTTTTGCATATAATTTTTATTATAATATTTTTTTGGCATCAGTACGGAAGGCTACAACTTATACTGGATCCGTCCAACTTATTCTTTTGAACTCTAATATTATTTGTGTTCCATCAAAACTTATCCTAAGGGGTTGACTATCCTCTCCGACCATTGTTTTCGTCTGTCGGAGGAAACTTCTCAGATGTTCCGCTTAAACATTCAGCACTCACCCCCTCTACCCCCATCATCTCAAACCACCCCCCTGGAATTACTTTCACGTTTTCGACCAAAACTTTATTCCAAGGCTATAATAATAATTCTGCTTCGCTATAACGTAAGTTAAATTTATTCGTTTAATCGGACTGAAACTGCTTTAATTATACCGCTGTAGAGATCACCCTACACCCTTCCTCCCCTATAATTTTAATTCCGTGCCGATTGTGCTGTAGTCCATTCAGTGTAGCCGATATTTGAAATACAATTTGACCGATTTTTCTGGTATCGATTTTGAAATGGAAAAGTTGGTTTGATTAGCCGCCTGCGTATATATTATTTTTATATACTATAATATAATGTTTGTATGTGGAATAATAACTGTAATATATTATGTTACTATGAACATTGAACTCGTTTCTATATATGTAAATTTTGTTAAAAAGTTTGCAAATTCAATATCAAAATGGTACATTTAGCTTTAAAGTTACTAGTTTTTAACCGAGACTTCATTCACGTGACTTCGAAATTCAGTTTAGATAGAAATGTATAAAGTGTATTAAAAATATAGATATTTGAGGACCTATCGGGGCAACAACTATATTCTGTGACATGGAATTTCAATATACATACAATAGTGTTATGGCATTTCCAAGCGGATATTACACGGAATTGTCGCATTAATTACAGCATTTTTCTTATTCCGATGTCGAAGCTACATTGTCGTAAAATTTCATCAAAATTAATAAAGTAGTCATCGTGCGAAAGAACAACAAGCATTCACATACGTCGTTCAAAAATATAATAAAATTAGTATTTTATCAATATAGTATATTGTAGGAATTGTTGATTGTTAAATATTCTGATGAAAGTGTCGCAGCAACGGTCCCAGTGAAAACGAGCCAGCATATTATATTTGTATTACACGAACATTCGAAAAACTATTTGACGTGATACCGTACGGTTCATTTTACAGTTTTAATATACGTTATATAGTTTAATATATATTATAGATAAAATAAATTGATTCGGACTTTGTGTGTATGTATGTATGCCTGACCAAGAACCAATAGTTTCTTTTGAAAATTTCCGTCGTGAAAAAACTTTTCTGTCTAATAGAAATTTCAAACAGTAACTGTGCATATTTTTTTAATATAACGTTTGTCAAAAAACTGTAATAATAAAATAATGTTTGTAAAAAAATTTACATTTTTAAATTACGTAATACTTATAATTAAGCCATCTGTACTCTATAGTCACTTAAAGAACATTAGAGACACTGGCGTTACCATAATTCATTATGTACGTACTTATCAAGCAGATAAGTCTGTTATAGCGAAGATACGATATAAATTAAATTGTTTAATGTACATAGTTCTAGTCGAAAACACATTACAACAGGCTGTTCTATTAGTTTCGTTGATATTTGTCAAAATAATTCATATTTATTATATATTTTTTGTCCAATTTATCTACGACAGATTAATTTTCTTTGACAATTTTTCCTTGCATAGGTATTATGTTTTTTTGTTTCTTGTAAAATTATAATAAATTATAACACAATGACTAGTGACAGAATAAGACTTTTTTTTATATATGTCATACATTACAATGTACTTTTTTTATCGTAGTTATACATATATATATGTACTTGTCTGCTGTCTACACGTGTATAGAGCTGTTTAAATATTTTCGATGTATTTTCCTAGAAAAGTTAAGTAACATGCCTAAATTAGAAAAACATCTAGAATAAAATAAAATATAATATTTATATAATATATACCTAAATGAAAATTAGCGGAGTCTTTAACTAAAGTATACGTTTTAATGACACTAGAAATATTTTAATTCTCGAAGGTATCATCTTTGATATTTTTAATTAGAACGTCAGTTCTGCTGCCTCCCACGTGGCATACCACAGCTTTCAGCCCCGTTACGTGAAGTATTTTAAATAGTAGTCATTCCATCTATCATATAATGACAATCTTACGTACAATTAACTATAGGTATATTGTTTATGTAAGAGTATTTCTTACGCCAATTACGATACAAAGAGAGTTGGATAATACCGAACTAATAAGACTTGGGTTTATATATTAGTAAAGGTTTGGTATTTAAATAAAAAATGAGGTTATTAGTAGGTCATTTATTCGTGTACACATAGAGAATGAAAAAAATGTAAAATCAAAAATGAATGTCACTTTTGTAAAATTACAACCAAACGTCAAATAAATATTATCGTCAAACAGTGCCTAGGTATGATAGAAACGCGTAAACGATGATGATTCAGGGAATAATAATCCTATTATAATAAATATATAAATTACTATCTATACAATGTATAGAGATATATGTTGACCAGAAAACTTGAATTATATCTGATTATTTGAATAACACTGTTGCTTTTCTTATAACAAGAAGTATTAGGAAATCTATAAATTAAATATTTACTTGTGAGGCCTTAAAGATAATCCAGGATTTCTTTTCAATTGTTTATTTAATCTCCAAAAAATATAGAAAATTTATAGTTTGTTAAAAAAGTATTTTAACATTAATTCAACAGTACTCAAGCAGGCAAAAAACAATATGATATCCAACTATCGTAATGACTCCATATTTTTTCTATAAAATTATAGATTTCACAGTGGTGTAGGCAACACGACCCTCCAGATTTTATTAGTTAGACGCGCTATATCCAGATTCTATGTTTACGCACTATATCAGAACTAGTGGAAGGTTTTGAAAAATTCTGAGGCTCGCAATATCTAACTTTCCTTTATATAACAAGATTTATATGTAATTCATTTACGTATTTTGTTTTTTAGATCTTGTGTCGATTCTGAAACTTTATTATTCCACTACAAAGTAAAGTAATAATAGATAGATATGTACATTCATTCCAAATCTCGTTGTTCTATATGTCACATGATCGAGTCCAGTTGATAGTTGTTCTGTGCTCGTGTTTCCAGGCCCCTTGTGGCGTTGCTCGACGGTAGAGACTGCACCGTCGAGATGCCGATACTGAAGGACGTGGCGACCGTAGCCTTCTGCGACGCGCAGTCCACGTCCGAGATACACGAGAAGGTGCTGAACGAGGCGGTCGGCGCGCTCATGTGGCACACCATCATACTCACCAAGGAGGACCTGGAGAAGTTCAAGGCGCTCAGGATCATCGTGCGCATCGGCTCCGGGGTCGACAACATTGACGTCAAGGCCGCCGGCGAGCTGGGTCAGTACACGCACACACACACACACGCACACACACACACACACACACGCTACTCCGAGTGTAGTGTCGACCACGTGCTCCTTATATCCCTACTAATATTATAAATGCGAAAGTAACTCTGTCTGTCTGTCTGTTACGCGTTCACCCTTCAACCACTGAACTGATTTTAATGAAATTTGGTACAGAGATAGAGTTGGCTTTGAGAAAAAACATAGGATAGTTTTTATCCCAGACTTTTGAAAGGTTCTCTTGTAAAACGCGATTTAACCGAACTCCATGCGGGCGAAGATGCGAGCGGAAAGCTAGTATGATAATATATTAATGAATAGAAACTATAATCTAATATAGGTTGTAGTCTAGGCTAACATGAACCCATTGGACTTTAGAGAATTCGTCTCCTTAATTCTGCATAAAAAATGTTTTAGTATTGTTATTTATATTAATCGTAAAGAAAATAAAAACCGCTCTAAAATATTAATAGTTGAAACGTTTGTTAGTCTGAGGAATCATGAATAATTCTGTTTGATTGCTTTTTGATTTCCATCCACTGATTCAAACTCGCACGACATATTGAAATTATAAAACTATTAGTTGCACTTGTTTGTTTCACTTAACATTGTTAGTAATTTACAAGTACAGAACATTTTTATAATATTCCCCAACTAAGATCTATAAAATAGGTTTCTAACAATTTGTCGTTTGTCCGATCAGTAACAATCCATTAATGATGTGATCGCACACGTGGCCCGTTTTATATAACCGACTCTGATAAAATTAGGTTGTGTATTAATAACTTTCGTATCGAATATATTAAAATTGAAATCTCAAGCATCAAATTATATGAATTAATTATTATTGTTGAAATAACTTTAACTTAGCGTTATCGTAACAATAATTCTGAATTTGCATTTAATTTTCACCCGTAATATTTTTTTATATAATATATTTAGGTAGAAGTGATTACTAATGTTGTGTGTTGTTCGTTTCCAGGCATAGCTGTGTGTAACGTGCCGGGCTACGGCGTGGAGGAGGTGGCCGACACCACCATGTGTCTCATACTGAACTTATACAGACGGACGTACTGGCTGGCCAACATGGTGCGCGAGGGGAAGAAGTTCACAGGTATACACACACAAACACACACACACACATACACACACACAGTCAACAACAGCATACGTCATACATGTCTGTATAATATACGTATAACATGTATGACTGTTGTTTGAAAATTTTTTCTTAGATGTTGGCTGTATTATAATGACGTGTTGTGTTGTGGTAATAATTACAATTTTTATATTATAACATCTCAAGACGTCACATTGTACCCTTTAGTAAGAGAGTTATTCAAAAAATCACATGTCTCCTACATTCGGTAAAACAGACCTATCGACTCAGTCATATATTCACTCCATGAAAGAAGTAGTACTAATGGCTATTATGCATTTAAAAAAATATACATGTTACTCGACTTATCAACCTATTCCCGCCCGGTACGTATATAACGTGTGTTTGTTTGTTTGTGGCAGGGCCGGAGCAGGTCCGCGAGGCGGCGGCCGGCTGCGCGCGCATCCGCGGCGACACGCTGGGCATCGTGGGGCTGGGCCGCATCGGCTCGGCCGTGGCGCTGCGGGCGAAGGCCTTCGGCTTCAACGTGATCTTCTACGACCCCTACCTGCCCGACGGCATCGAGAAGTCGCTGGGGCTCACCAGGGTCTACACGCTGCAGGTTACACACACACATATATATACATACTAGAAGAACCGGCGAACATCGTATCGCCCTATAATCAAGAAATATCTGTTACGTTTTTTTATTTATATTTTTGGAGTTTACCTTTTAAGCCATAAATCTCCGTGTTTTGAAGTGCGACAGAATTATTGAGATATTAGTTAGTTGTCAAATCTAATGTCAAAAAAAAAGCGTTTGTATCGACAGCTACTAATAAATTAAAAAATAATTAAAAGAAAATTGTCCAATGGACAAAATGGTGGATCTAAACCATTCCCAGATCCCCTTGAACACACACAGAAAATTTCGTCAATATCGGTCCAATCGTTTGAGAAAAGTTCAGTGACATACACACTCACAGAAGAATTATATATATAAATCTTCTTCTCTTCTACCTGGCAATTTCCCAGCTTTAACCATTGTCTGCCTTACGAGTTGTGAATAGTTTTGGCTAATTGTTTTTACGACCGGCCGCCTGCCTGACATCAACCCTCTTTGGGAAGAACTCTATATATATTCATCATAGTCATTTACTGTGGTGGTAGACCCTAGCTGTGTTCAAATTACTACAGCTCGAACATGGGCTGGCTTGACCGAGAAAGTACTATTCTCTCACAGAAAATTGGCGTGAAGTAGTCTTTAATGGCTGATTTTCTCCCGATGAGTGAAAAGACGGTTGTCCTTTCCCTTTTTCTCACCTTTTCATGACTTTTCTTTTTCCCACCTTTTCACCATATTTCCCAATCTAGGGCGGCATCCGTAAATCTACGTTACGGATGTATATGCGGGGCAAGTACTATCTCCATTAGGTCATCTACTCCGTTGCCTCCTTTAGCATAAAAAAAAAGTAAATAAATCTCTTAGCCCATTATAAATATATGTGTTGTAAATAAGTGTTGTGTTATTCTGTTCCAGGACCTTCTATTCCAGAGTGACTGTGTGTCATTGCACTGCAGCTTAAACGAACACAATCACCATCTTATTAATGAATTCACTATCAAACAAATGCGTCCAGGTTAGTGTAATACACAATACAAGGTGTGTACGATATCAATACACATGACACACAAACATGAACTATATCTAATATGTGAAGTTTTGAAAATAAGATATTAATATTATAAACCGAAATAGAAATGTTTTAATTTGTCTATGAAATTATTCAGAAATGTTTTAATATCGAATATCATTGAGCAGAGCTTATTACTGATAGTCTTCTTCTTCTTCCTGGTTATTTCCTAGCTTTAGCCAGGATCTGCCTTACATGTTGTGAATAGTTTTGGCTAATTGTTTTTACGAAAGGCCGCCTGAATGACATCAACCAATACTGATCCCTACTAATATTATAAATGCGAAAGTAACTCTGTCTGTCTGTTACGCTTTCACGCCTAAAACACTGAACTGACTTGAATGAAATTTGATACAGAGATAGAGTCCACCTTGAGAAAGAACATAGGATAGTTTTTATCCCTGACTTGTGAAAGGTTCTCTTGGAAACGCGATATAACCGAACTCCACGCGGGCGAAGCCGCGGGCGGAAAGCTAGTGGTATATATAATAATATGTTGAATGAATCAGGCGCGTTCCTGGTGAACACGGCCCGCGGCGGGCTGGTAGACGACGAAGGTCTGGCGGCGGCTCTCAAACAGGGACGGATCCGGGCGGCGGCGCTAGACGTGCACGAGAACGAACCCTTCAACGTGTTCCAGGTAACGACACGACATACATACATACATACATATATTAGTGTAGGGCTCTATATAAAACAAACTTCACTATCACCGTATTCGACCGTTAACAATAGGCCATGGGAACCATACTTCGCCTCCGCTCACGTCAAACAAAAAACAGTCGCTTATATTTAAATATTTCAAGGTTGAATTTAAACCTCCAGAGTATTCTAGTTAAAGTCTTCCTCAGTCTAGTCTTGATAGCTGATCGCACATTATGTATGTTTATGTTTATTTTGTTTTGCTGACTTAAAGACGCGACCAAATAGTTCGGCATCTTTCAAACTTATTTTACTATACTATATAGAAGACCCGGCGAACTTCGTATTTATCTATTACGTTTTTTTATTTATATTTTTGGTGTTTACCTAAGCAATAAATCTCCGTGTTCTGAAGTGCGACAGAATGATTGACATATTAGTTAGTTGTCAAATCTAATGTCAAAAAAAAACGTAATACATTTTTATTTTCCACGAACATTTCAAGATTAAGATTTTTTTAGCGAGACTAAGGAACAGCAATCCATTTTTATAGTAATACTGGAATCAGTTAATTTCTTCTAGTGTTAGTACTCAATAGTCATTTCGGATCGCTAGCACTCTCTTCCTGTCACGTTTCATGTATCGTGTTAGTGTGATTTGTCTATAATTTCTTAACAACAGAAGTCGTCAGGCAACCACATGTTAAGATTTGCACTCTTCTAAATTAGTTAAGTGACATAGAGAAATATGACTTGATGAAAAGTGGATAATAATGATGTTTTAGAGTTATAAAAATGCTGATCTTTGGTCAGAACAATGAGAAACTAAAACAATAAATAGCGGGTCAAATATATTGTTATACTTTTTGTTAGCTTTAAAGTATATTAAATCAAAATATGGGATTCATTAACAATGGTGCAAAATAGACTACTCTGTATATATATATATAAATATTTTTACTGATAAACAAATCTACAGCAAATCTAAAACTTTTGTTGTGTTTATATTAAATTATTAATCATACTTTTATTATAACTGGTAAGTTGGTGTGGATGAATAGATTTTGATTGTACTCAGCAGAGATTTAGGTCTGAATAATATTACAGTCAATTCATACTGGAATTTAGTGTAGTTTGTACGAAAACACATACAACAGGTATATTGTACGTCAAGTCACGTAACATAGGCGATATGAGTCGTTAACGGTCTGTTATTATATATATTTTAAAACACTATAATTTTCTCTGTAATATACAGGGTGACTGGTGAATTACTATCAATATTTAAGGAGAATACTCGGTACATGATTCTCATTCGAATGATGTAAAAAAAATAGGCACTTAATTTTTGACAAAATTTCCGTATAAATAAATAAAGTGTTGACACGTTCCAAGTGTTCCAAGTGTGGTCGCGTGCGGCGGCGTGCTGATACAACATTACGCCGAGCACGCGTATGTGTGAGTGTGTGTGTATACCTAATCTGTAGGGTGTTCAGACGATGCGTAATTAATTACATAACTTTTGGTCAACTTTACTTAGAAGTTTATTAATATTTATGTTATATTAATTTTTATTTTGTCATATATGATCGTCAAATATCACGTCCTCAAGTATCGATAGTAATTCACCAGTCACCCTGTATATAAAAATAATGCTGATTTTATCATAATTTTGGTATTAACAATATCAAACTTGATCACATTATGGATTTTAATTGTTAGTATGTTTGATTCCGTCTTGAGTTCATTGTTTACTATTAATATTCCAGGGTCCGCTGAAGGAGGCTCCCAACGTCCTGTGCACGCCTCACGCCGCCTTCTACTCTGACGCGTCAGCTCAGGAGCTGAGGGAAATGGCCGCTTCAGAGATACGACGGGCCATCGTGGGACGCATACCTGACTGTCTGCGGAACTGTGTCAATAAGGTGAGAGGGAACAGACACACACACATACACACACATGCACACAAATACACACACAAGGTTATGAAGCGAAAAGTAACTGTATTGTCAGACAAACATGTATTGTACACATGGATAGTGCAAATCTGCCCTTTCCCTTTTCCCATTCTCTCCTACCCGTTTCCTTTTTCCTCCCCTTCCTATTTTTCCTACCCCTCTTCCCACATCAAGGGTGGTGACACATCCGCAACATATCTTATGTCGCGGTTGTCCATGGGCGACGGTACTATCTCCATCAGGCATGCCGTCTGCTCGGTTGCCCCTTTAACATAAAAAAAAAAAATCCACGTAACTGCCATTGGATAATTCCTCGTATTTACATTGGAAACAGGTAATCAGAAGAAGGTCTAATTATTTAGTGTTTAATTTATTACTGATTGTGAAAAAATTACCTTAAGTCGTTAATATAGAAAATATTTCATCTTAAAATTTCTTCTGTCAATCTTCTACCAATGTAGATAGATAGGCGGAATTATCCAATGCTAGTTACGAAAATTTGCACTGTCCCGACGATATAATCATTGTAACTGTGTTGTAAGACAAACATGTGTTGAACAAATGGATAATATAAATGAAAGTTAGATATGTATGTATATAGTGATCATATTTATATACGCTTACATATATATATAAGGTTTGTGTATATAATAGTGTATGTCTGTGTGTGTTTAGGACTACTTCCTCGCGGGCGCCGCGCCGGTGCTGGCGCCGCCTCCGCCCATCGCAGCTCCTCAACCGCCCGCGCCCGCCTATACTGAAGGTGAGAACAACACACACACACACACATAGCACGAGCATAGCACATAAGTTAAATATTTGTTATAATATAGTTAAGTCAGATATAACAATTATATTGTCATATTAAAGCCATTATAACATTGTTTACTCAATCATTGTATTTGTTGAGTGTATTTTATAAAAGATGATTAAATTTAATTTTTAAATGATTACTGTCTTGTCTTGCCTTAGTCCATAATATGGACTCCATATATCCATATATCATGAAAACGGTTCCAAAGTCGTTAATAAGTGCCCTGTTAAAAATTTGTCAACCTTCAGTCACATTATTTCCATATTAAAAGATCAATATTTCAACTGGTTGATAAAAACTTTTTATATGCAATATGTAGGTACTAAATTTCCATATTATTCATGTCTTGTTTATTGAATAAAAATTTCGAATAATGATCATATAACTTTATGTAACACATAATATTGTTTAGTGTGTGCAATTATATGTAGAGTATTCACATTATATTTATGTCTATATCTTCCAACCCTCGAGATGTACGATTGATGTTATTGTTTGTTTGTAACTCCAGCGGGTATGAACGGCGGCTACTACGGCGGCGGAGGCGCGCAGGCCGCTCACTCCACGACGGCTGTACACGAGGCGCCCGCGCTGCCGCCGCAGACCGCGCCGCAGGCCCCGCCTCAACCGCCCATCACGCTAGTTAGTATACAAACACTCAGACACAGACATAGACATGTACAAGACACACACACACACACACCTAGACACAGACACGTACGGGACACACACATAGACATACGTATAGTCAGTGCCGTAACTAGGGCAGTGCCAGCAGTGCCCGGCACAGACTAGTATCTAGTTTTATCTCATGCATGGTAGCTATATACTTTGTTACTTTGGTAAACAACAAATAGATAGATTTATTTGTATGCACATTTTTCCATTTTATTTTCAGAGCCCCTTAGAGCATTTTTCAGGGGCGCAATTTTGATATCTCGCTCCGGGTGCATAAAAGGCTAGTTACGGCACTGCGTATAGCCCGTTAGACTTAAGCTGACCTTTGCATTAGTGTGAGTGAAAGTAAAAGTAAAGTTAGGCAAAAAAAGAATTAAATTTTATTATATGTATTTAAAATAGATACATAGCATAAGTGTTATAAAATAAGCGAAACATGTAAAAGGCCACATGGAAATATTATATATATTATGGGGAAAAAATTATTGATTAGTAAAAATTTTGTAAAAACTATACAAATTCTTCTTCACTTGACATTGCGTTTTCAACATTTGACTTTGCTATCAGTACCAAGGGTGAAGTGCGGAAGGTGCGGGGCGGAGTAAAAGCAAAATAAATCGGTTTAAAACTAGAAAAGAACGTGGCATTAAAAAATTTGACATCACACCTACACTATCCGTGTGCACTCACACAAATACAAAGCTCAGCTTACATCAAACGCACTATACAACACACACTTAAACACACAACTTGTAAAATACATACAAATTATTCCTCAGAGTATATATATGTCGTAATAGTATTAAAAAGTGTAAATATTTATATTTCCAGCCGATCAACACGTCGGACCCGGCCAACCATCAGCTAAAGCAGGAGAGCTCGGACGTTCACTAAGGAAGGTCGCTCGATACGTTACAGTACCGGCGCCGCGCTCACACAAACAAACAGACAGACAGACATACAGTAGGGAGGTTCCATCGGCTCACACACACACGGGCCGCACGTGTGTGTGTGTGTGCGTGTGTGTATGAATATATAATGTATCGCGGGTGTGTGTGTACGTTGGTGGCGGCGTGGGGCGACAGTTTTGTACTTAGATTAACGTTTCTATATAATATAAATACGATTATTATATAGATGATATTGAGAAATGTTTTTATCGCGCTCGTTTCGATATAGTTAACTGTCCAAATTAATGTTAAATGTAAATCGTTCTAGTGTATGGATGTCATCGGCTTCTACCTCGGTAACATAAGGCTGGTCGCCACTCACTTGTCCGTTCGCCGCCCGACGCTAGATTCAGCATTTGTTAGCATTTGTAACCGCGCTCCTACAGAAACTATCATTAAAGGAACGGATCGACTGTAGACTTGTATCATCACATTTAAATTAACAGACGGACCTGTGTTCTATATAAATATATATATTTCTTTTATTATTTGAAATGTACAAAATCATGCTTTGGTTTATAATTTTTTTTTGTTCTTTTCTAAATAGAATTAAGTGATGGATTTGTACATGAGACACCAATTATAACGCTACAGCTGACACGGCCACGTCGTGACGATTGGTATTTAAAATTAGTATTTACTTACAGTTTAGTTTAATGACAAAAACAATGTGTATATTTTATGAGAAAGTGAAAAGTTCTTAAATAAAACAATTGTTTTCGGATTAATGACTCGGCTGTTTTATTTATTGTTTACATCCCGATACATATTGATACGAAATTGGCACAACGATGGAGAAACTATACGATGCTAACAATAATATAGTCAGTTAGTACAGTCTGGCTTTGGCATCTTCATGATAAAAAAACAAATTGTTTCAATATAGTCCTAACAAGTAGACTAAAGGTTTACATCGTGGACACAAAAAATTCGAGATTTCAATTCATAAATATTACAATTGAATGAAAAAAAGAAAACAATTTAAAACTACAACTAAATAATGAAAAAAAAATTGATTTAACAAATAAAGTTCATACAAATCAACGATTAATCGATTTTAAGGTCACCCAAATATATGCATCTAGTGTTATATTTTCTCCGCGGCGCTGGTGACGGGACCCGCAGCCTCCTCGCTTCATCAGCATCAAGAGCTCGCTTCATTTCAAAATACTTCTGTTTGTATGAGTGAAGTTCGTCGCTAACTTTGGTTAGTTCCAGTCTGAAGTCCGTCACTTGTCGTTCACGCATGCTCAACTCTATATAAAAATCACATTATATTAAATTATAAATAAAATATATTAAGATACACTATATTTGTCGCTTATGTTTGATTTACAGTTGTTTGACTTGATTTTTTATTTAGTTATATTTTAAAAATGGCTGAAGTTATTTTTATAGTTTTCGAATACAAGTTGACGCTTAAATGTTACAATGGTTCCGTATTGTAATTGATTATAATAAGTCATTCAAATAATTCTAAACTGTATATTATATTATAGTTAGTACGGCACAGATGACGCCACTGGTAATACTTGCTATCAAGTATAAAGTATTGAATGTAATTTATTGGAATTTTTCAGTTAAATTAAGTTAGGAATTAGAATAACATGGATTTAAATAATTTGTAGTTTGATAAACCGGCAGAAAATTTTGATTTGCATAAAGTTGCGAGTCACAGGATCTATAGAGTATAAAATGCACTGCAAAATATGTATATCAGTATATAATATGTTAACCAACTTCCAAAACCCATGAAGCTAAAGTCGCAGGCATAAACTAGTATTGAATAATATCTCTCACCTGCGATGAGACATTTCATCTTGCTGGTCCTCTGGACTAGGGCACGTTGAGTTCGATTCAACGTTTGCTATATTAAAACATAATACAAATAAATACACTCATCATATTCATATTTTATTCTATTACATTATTTTACTATTATTATAATTGCGAAAGTTTGTATTTTTGTTACTTGTTCACGCTCAAACGGCTGAAACGATTTTGTTAAAATTTTGTATACAGGAAGCTGACGTCCAGGAATAACATATAGGCTACTTTATATCCAGTAGGCGTAGCTAGTGTTTCTATATGATAATCAGACACCTGTATTTCCGGGCTGGGTTGTAAGGCCAGCATGTCCTTCACAGCGCTGTACAAGTTCCTCGTCTCCTTCAGCTCACGGTCTTTGAGAACGAGCATCTCGCTTTGGGCGAGGACTTTTCTGCAGAAATTTTTTTTAATTAATTATACATTTAAATTAAAGTACATAATGAAACTCTTGTATATACATTGATCGTATGTCTTAAATTTTTTGAAGTGAAACTTCTTTAGGCGCATGAGGGTAAAATTTTACAGGTGTTACGGAAGTTTCGAAAAAGAGAGAGAGAGCGATCGAGGTCGATTGAGAGTGAGTAAGACAGAGCGAACGTCGTAACACGCACAGTGCAAAGATGTTTCAATTCTGACATGTGTACTTTGTACGCACGCATTTTTTTCTAGTTAACTCCAATATGGCAATAATCATAAAACATTCAACCACTTAAAAACCATTCAAATTTTATTTTAATATCTTAAATTTACCCTAAATAAAGCTAAAACACAACATCAATAGACTACCATTAACAAGTTAATTGTAACATCATTACCAGTTACAAAGTTGTATTATAGTATTGCTATTAACAAATTACGCAAACCTTCTGGCTTGTCATCATTAGTAATAAACTAAATAACATGACTCAGTACCGTTATTAGAGATGTTAAATGTCAGAGGAGGGAACCCTCGCTAGTTTGTTATTAAAGTTTATTATACTAAAAAGATAATAATCTCTTGTTCCTTATTAACAATGAGCATTTCCTTAGATACGACCTTCGTTAGTCCACACCTTACTTTACAGATTTTTATCGTATTTAGATTATAACTTATTAATAATAACAGCCGCAAATATTTCCTTGTTTGTATTGGTTAAAAGGTTGATCATAAAAAATATATATATCTAACAACATTTATATAGGGTATATATTGTATGAAGATCAGACGACAAACATCATTTGTAATGTACTACATATATTATAAGTTTTCTCTTAAACGCCATAATTCATTTAGTTATATGTATCGAGTGTTATAAACTAAACTATCCAAAGGTTAGTTCGAGGATACTTATGAATTATGATCATCGACATATAATAATGGACATGCCGTACGCGTATAATCTGCAGTATTTTTTTTGGTTTGAAAAGAGTGAGAGAGATGGCCTTTGCTTTCGGTCTAGCACTATCTCTTTCCTCATAGGTACGGTACTGTTTTGAGAGAGATAAAGATAGACCGAAACTTCGTTTCCTCTCTTTCTTTTGGAGTGCCACAATGCTCATCTCTAAGGCAGGTCCATTAGCATATGTCGATGATTATGATCACTCTAAATGTCTATCTCTATATATGTATGCAGTGCCGGCGTTAGAGGGACTGACACCCTGGGCAAGAATATTTTGGCGCCCACTTGAAGAAATCAAAATCGAGTATTAATTTTTTTCTGAACCAATGTGAACACTGAACGTGTATTAAGAATTCTATGTATATTCCATCTACCATCTTCCATCTTTCTCTTAGGGTGACTCAGAGCTAACGACATGGACGTAGAAAGTTATGTAGCTGCTATTTTTTTTTCATTTATATGTATCCTACCTCCACTAATCGCCCCTCAAATTTGGCGCCCTGGGCCGTCGCCCCATCGCGCTCCCCTCTAACGCCGGCACTGTATGTGTATGTGTGTCTGTGTGTGTACTAACTTCTGCGTGAGCCTCAGCTTGTGCGTGAGGTGCACACTCTCGGGGTCGGTCCCCTGCAGCTTCCTCCAGCGGTGCACGTTCAGCGGAGTCTCGAGCGCCTCCTCCAGCGCGCGCACCCGCAGACGCTCGCGACCCAACTCACGCTCCAAGTTGAACACCTACAGAACAACAATAAATAATAATAGTTCCTCTCTGTACAACTATAACAAGCATTAGGCAAAATACTTAAGAATCGTTTGTGATTCGATAATCTAAATTAATACATATTATAATGTGACGAGTTAATGAATGAAAAAATTAATGCTCTGTATCCGTATGTGGAATAGAGATATAAAACTGGGATAGCTTTGCTGATATTCTGTATTTGTAGCTAGGAAGTATCCCTACTAATATAAAAGCGAAAGTAGCTCTGTCTGTCTGTCTGTTACGCTTTCGCGCCTAAACCACTGAACTGTTTTGAATTAAATTTGGTACAGACATAGAGTTGACCTTGAGAAAGAACATAGGATAGTTTTTATCCCAGACTTTTGAAAGGTTCTCTTGGAAACGCGATATAACCGAAATCTCGCAGGCGAAGATGCTGGCGGAAAGCTAGTGTTTAATAAACCTCTAAAATAAATATGATTTAGTTATAGTTGTGTATTATAGCTATATAATAAAATAGTAATTCGATGGTAATTGGTATTTAAAATTACCATCTTATATTGTATTACCGGTCATTACGTACAATTCATAGACAATAGACTAGTCGATAAACTTTAAACACACCATAACCGACGCACACAATGCCGTCACACTATATTGTTTTATAATCATTATAAATTGTTTGTATTGTAATTTCAATGAATGGATATATTAATTATTATAAAATTTTTGAATAAACATACAAAGTTTCTATATTTTTTTTATGCTTTGGCTTCATTCGCACTAGTATAGAATCGTGTAATATTTTGCTAATGTCAAAGTTTTATTTGTTGAACGAATTATAATCTTAATTCCCGTGAGAAGGAAATACGTAGGATTTAGTCGAATTGAATAAAGGCTCTTCTTTAATAATTATTATTATTGTTGTTTTTATGGAAGACTATTCTATACATATTGTAATATTTTTGTCACATTTGACATATTCTATAAATCCATAAACAATAACTGTACCTCTAGCCGTAGATCCGTCATGTTTTCGATGCCCTTCGACAGTAAGTTCTTTTCTTTCCTCAGTCTAATTATTTCTAGTCGAAGCAGTCTTATATCTTCAACTCGCTGTTCATACTGTCTTTCACCTGTTTTGATAAAAATTCATATAGTATTTTTTAAAGAAAAAATGTAATGTAACAATATTAAATAATAATGAAATTATAATTCCTTTGTATTTTTATAACATAATACATACTATCTAATATAGTGTTATGCTTAGTTAATCTAAGAGTCAACAGATGTCGCTATTTACGACTTTTACTGAAACATTTTCATTAATCATAAATAATTGGATCAGATTATTTTATATTATACCATAACCTCCTTTAAATTCGTTAACAAGCTATACTTTAAAATTGTCTTAAAATAAAGTCGATAAAACTAATTGGTTAAACAAATAATTTCATTTGTACGTACAATATAATCCTACTAATATTATAATTGCGAAAGTTTGTGAGTGTGTGTGTAGGTATGTTTGTTACTTCTTCACGATCAAACGGCTGAACCGATTTTGATAAAATTTTGTAAACAGGAAGCTGATATCCAGGAATAACACATAGGCTACTTAATCCCGATAACACCGCGGGGCGCAGCTAGTATATATATAGTGTCCAAGTTATATTATTATTTATTAGTCTACCCACCTCTATGCAGCGTGACCTCTAGTATCCGTATCTTCTCATACAGGAGTGAGATCTCATCATTTCTCCTCACCAGCTGAGCTCCCACCACGTCCCTCTCATTAATCAAACCTTCCAATTCTTTCATAAGTTTCGCTCTTGCTGAATCTCCTTCCTTGGGAATTAATATTTATTTACAATATAGGTATTATGCCATGAAAAACAAGATGATAGTCTAATGCAGGGCTGTCCAAGCCATGGCTCGCGGTTCGGATTATTGCGGCCCGCAGAATCTTTTTTATATTCTTTGTTTAAAAACATCAATGAGCAAATTATTTTTATCGCGACGAAATTCAAATATTTTAAAGGGTATGGTCGATCACGTCGCACACATAATTTTTTTGGACCACCTCAAATACATAGACGAAATACTTAATCGTCGAATTCGAGCGGCGTTTTGCAGATTTTCAAAAAATTGAGAGTGATATAGCACTCTTCACTAATCTAGTAACGATTGCAGTTGAGAGTGTGAAGATTGATTATTATCAACTAGAACTGTGTGATCTGCAATCAGACCCCTTTTACAAGGGCAGAACAGAAACAAGGATAGATTTTTTAAACTCCTCGCTGAACGTTTCCCGAAACTGGCGAATTTGGCGAATGAAATAAAGGTTTTCAATGTCAGATACTTTACTTAAACATGCACTGCGCCTAGCTACTACTGATATTGAGGTTGATATTGACAAAATTATAAAAGACAAATTGATGGAAAAGTAATTAATAAAATTACGATATTATTATTACGAGCATTTTATTTTTATAAATATTTTGCGGCCCACCAATGTATTTAATCAATTTTATTGGCCCTCGGTCCCATCTAGTTTGGACACCCCTGGTCTAATTCATGTTGTCGCTACCTTTTAAGGTAAAAATCTACGAGTGTTTGTTGTCTTGTTATAAGAGCAAGATGTATTAAATATTATTGAAGTGATTATATTTGTTTATACATTTTTTTTATATGATCACAATAATATAGTTGTAGTACTTAGCACACAGACCGTTAAACTAATGAGCACATTGTTATATTTCTTATTATGTAATATATATAATCACTACATAAGGTAAGGATGTTAATGTGTTTGTATTTACATAACTATGTATATATTGATATCAATTAAGATTGCTTTAGACCACAAACTAGGTAGAATTCAAGTAAACCTGAGGTATAAGTGTTATATGTAAGCTCGCCTCGAAAATATATTCTTAATATGTAGTATTGGAATTGTTGGCCTCGTAGAATAAATATTTAGAGCATTTTAATATATCAACAGTATAATCAACTTTTAACAGAAATGTGAATAATACATATGTATGTGTAATCTCTGTTTTTAATCTAAGTGCTTAGACTAAGTTGGCATCGTCACACCATATACGGGGTATTAACAGTATTTCTTTCAAATACCTTCACACATTATATTGACGTAGGTCATTGAGTGACAAACGGAAATACTGTCTATGTAGTGTGGCGACGTGAGCTTTAATATGGCTACTATTACACATGATTTAAATAAGCGAATGTTTTAAAAATACACATGCATTTTTTTAGTAGGGTGCTTTCCTGTGCTCAATTAATCATGGTTTCGTGCTTAAAATAAGCATGTGTAACTGTATTCTAAGCCTACAGTTTTCTCTATTGCACTTATTTGCAGAGCGACAAATAAAAAAGTGCAAACTTTTTATTAGAACACATAATTTTCTCTCGAGATAAATAACTTTGTATCTATATATGATTAATTATAAGACACTTAAATTTATTGCATTTTCCTTATTAATTCAATGTAATTGACTTTAACGACAATATAAAGTGTAGGAAAAGATTTCAACAGTGAAGGCGTTAAACGCTAATTATCATTCTATGGTTAATGACAGAACACATAAATGTCTATTAAAACAAGTTGTAGTCGGACTAGGAAAAAAATCGATTGAGAATGATAAATAATTGTAATAATTTTAAAGGCAATCAAAGTTAAAACAATGATATTCCTGATTAGTCTAATTGTACGAATAAAGTCACGCATATGAATAAATTAAACTAGTGTGCTTTAGACGTAAACGATTGAAGTAAAACTTCTTTCGCTCCACCTATATGTAGTATGAATATGTATATGTTTATATATGTATAATACAGATATGTATATATATATATATCCACTATACTCTCTCTCGCCCCTACAGTAATATATGAACCGTAACACTCGATCACACTTTTCGTAACGCTTTCGTCACGCATTCACCAGCTTACTCCCAAGTCAAGCGTAAAGAAGTTTAACTTCGAAAATACTATTTAAAAAAATCTTATCTAACATTATTATCTTATCTAACGCTATTATTTTTCGGTCCTCACTCTAAAGATTTTCATCCTTACAATACATACATTCTTTTAATATACATATACAGATATATAAGACGGAGATATCAAATGTAATATGAGAACATATCTCCACATACATATGACATATGTCATAAGGCATGTTCCGTAATCCTTATCATATCATATCTTCACCTGTACGATCCTATTAAGCCGTGCCTCCTCCTGCCTCAAAGCTGTAATGTCAGCCTTCGCTTCAGACAGCTTGCCGAGTCCAGCTTGTACTTCAGATTTAAGCTGTTCCGTCTTCTTGTTACACTTCAAAAGAGCTCCCTCACACGACTTAAGCCCGGTCTCCTTACCGCTTATGTCCTCTTTAAGCTGTTCTATCTGATACGCCAGCATCTGAAATATAAATAAAACTAATGAATAAACAATTAATACATTAAATCTGTTTTGCTAAGCAAAAAATATATATTAATAGTTTTTGTTTGCGATTTCGTCCGCGTTAATTTCAGCATTAGTAATTGTATATGTATAATTCACTGGGCAAAACTCTTTTCCGCTTTAGAAGCCAGAAATAACAAGATATTGGAATTTCTTAAGTATTTTTATCTTTTTCGGTCGAATAGAATTAAATATCCTATGTCCGTTTCCTGGTTCTAAGCTATTTCACTGTCAATTTTCAACCATATCCCTACTAGCAACTAGCTAGTAGCTGCTCTTGAGTTATAAAAAGTATAACTAACACATTTTTTTTAACAGATTTGACTATTGTAATATTATGTTTTTATAAATTCCTTAAAGATAATTAAAAATAAAAGAATATTTGAGGTTCATTGCGTTCTGATAAATAAACATATTTAGCAATAATAATTTTACTTATAATCCAACAAAAAAAACACTAATTACTTTATATTTTTTGTATATTTTTTATTTGCAACAGTCATTTAAGAAAAAAATAATATTTGAAAGTACTAGAATATGTTGTTTAACTAAATGTCAAATATATTTGATCTTAATTAGAGCTGAGGGCAATAAAAATACGGAAATAAGTTCGGTATGAGCAACAACGCCTTAACGTTGCGTGAAGTAAGACAACTTTTTATATCATATATCACCTACGTATGTAATATAACGGCTTTGTAAATATAGTCATTAATTAGATTAGTAACTTAATAGAACATTTTTTAAAAGGAAAATAAGAAAAAGTAAGGCAAGGAATTATATAGCTATGAAACAGATCCTATTTAAAAAAACGAATATTTCCGACCTTCGCGCACATTATATGGAAAAGTCCATATAAAAAGTTAATCGTAATAAAATTTCTTTAATTCATTGATTTGTCGGAATCTTGAGAATTGTTAGAAACTTAGCACATTATTTGTACTAATAAGTCTTAGAAAAGAAAACACGTTATGATTTTTAAAAATCTTTTGCCGTTTAATGGCCGATTTGTTAATATTCAAGACTAATTAGTTTACAGTTTCTTCTCTTTACAATAGCTGAGACCAAAAAATTGTCAAATTTCATTGATGGCGCTCCTTATAAAGGTGGCTTAATAATTGATTATTATTTAACAATATATGTATATACAGGGTGACTGGTGAATTACTATCAATATTTAAGGAGAATACTCGGTACATGATTCTCATTCGAATTATGTAAAAAAAATAGGCACTTAATTTTTGACCAAATTTCCGTATAAATAAATAAAGTGTGGACACGTTCCAAGTGTTCCAAGTGTGGACGCGTGCGACAGCGTGCTGATACAACACCACGCCGCCGCACGCGTGTGTGTGTGTGTGTATACCTAATCTGTAGGGTGTTCACACGATGCGTAATTAATTACATAACTTTTGGTTAACTTTACTTAGAAGTTTATTAATATTTATGTTATATTAATTTTTATTTTGTCATATATGATCGTCAAATATCACGTCCTCAAGTATCGATAGTAATTCATCAGTCACCCTGTATACTAGCCGACCCGGCAAACGTTGCTTTGCCATATGAAAAGTATGGGTTGGTGATAAAAAAGTAAAAAAAGGTTGTATGTATTTTCTTACGCCACAAGATAAAAAATGAAAAACAAAACCTTTCGTCCAAATTAAAAACAATCCTCACAAAAAATGGATGTTGGCCGATTCTCAGACCTACTCAATATGCTCACAAAATTTCATCGAAATAGGTCCAGTCGTTTCGGAGGACTTCTTTAACACCGCGACACGAGTATTTTATATATATATCTTTATATATAACATATCTTTCATCAACGTACCTTCAGCTTCTGTTTCAAGTCCTGTATCTCATCCAAAGCCTCAGTATAATTCTTATGCAGCATGTTTCTCTCCGCGCGTGTCGTGTCCAAAGCCACTGATAGTTTCCTACTCTTAATCGATTCCTCACGTAAAGCCTTCTTCAAATCCAAAATGTCCGCCGTACGTAAACGAACCTCCTCTAAATAAATAAGGAGAAATATAACTGATTATATATGAACGATTGGGGAAATAAGAAATAATAAGAAACAAAGTAAAATCATCAAAAAATTTAAGTAAAAGTAATAAAGAACAAAATCGTTTTTTTTTTTAGTTTACTTGTAGTACTAACGATTTTTATAACAATACCTATTTTGTCATTAAAACATCATTTTTATATTTACCAGCTACTTCGTCTATCTTTTCGTTCAAAGCAATAGTTTCTTCGAGCATTCTGAAAATAAAAACGACTATGAGAAAAATGTGAATATTTGATTATAAATATGTCATTCTATTGGGAGCAAGCAAGTTATATACAGGGTGTATGAAAGGACGTGATATTTGACGATCATTTATGCAAAATGTGAATAAATATTAATAAACTTCTAAGAAAACAAAAGTCGATCGTAATATGTTCGATTTTTGTATCAGCACGCCGCCGCGCGCGTCCACACTTGGAACGTGTCAACACTTTATTTATTTATACGGAAATTTGGTCAAAAATTAAGTACCTATTTTTTTTACATAATTCGAATGTGAATCATGTACCGAGTATGCTCCTTAAATATTGATAGTAATTCACCAGTCACCCTGTATACATATAGTCAAGTGGATATATTTCAGACTATTTAAAAATATTAATTCACGTTATGAAGAAAAGTTTTGACTTTTTTCTAGTTCCATCTAAGTCTACTTCAGTTATGGTAGACTTATTATAAATTCAAAACGAATTCCGATCAGTTTGAAAATCGATAAATATTATTTTAAACATGGATTAAAAAAGTGAAAAATATCGATACAATAGACGATTACCGGTTTTTAAAATCTAGTATTGTAATATAATTTCGATTTATTTTGTTCTTTTTCATTTAAAATATTCTTCATTATTTAGAATAAATTTAACAAAATGCTACTCTCCTAATTCTTCTGAACTGTGAAGATCGTATATAAAACTTAAGAACCCAATATACATATATGTGGAATTTGAGCAACACATTTCAATAAAGAAATGTCTTATTAACAAAACTTCAAGGAAAACTAGCAGCATAAATAATTTCCAGGTGTTACTCCCAAAGAGGATTGATGTCAGGCAGGAGGCCGGTAGTAAAAATAATTAGCCTAAAAATATTCACAACATGTAAGGCAGACCCTGGCTAAAGCTGGGAAATTGTCAGGAAGAAAATAAAGTGTTATACAGGTGTAACTAGCGTTGCCAGGTCGCCAAACCTAATAGCCGGACAGACCAGCCAGTTTGGCCGGACATTTGGTTGAAAAAAGCCGGACACCCTATATTATTGAGGATTTTGTCTTAGTATTAATAGGTACGACAAAATTTTTATGTAAAATCAAATCTTTTTGATTATTATCATAAATCTTGTTAATTACTAGTGAAATAATAAATAAAATCGAATGCTTAATCAGTCTTAAATAGGTACTTTATTATTAATTTGCGAAATGTAAAAAGCCTAACAAAAGCCGGACACCGTTTATTTTGGCCGGACATGCAATCAAAAAGACTAACTATGTCCGGCTTTATCCGGACGCCTGGCAACGCTAGGTGTATCCACATTATTAAAGGTGTTTCCACATTATTCCAGGAGTATCCACATTACTCCATGTGTTCCTCACCTGTCCTTATCCTTTTCCAGCTGCCTCACCACCAGCCTCTGCTTGTTCAGCTGCGCGCCGCTAACATCCAGCTCAGTTTCAAGCTGTTTCCGTCTCTGTTCAAGCCGGTTTATGATCTGCAGGTTTTCCATCGCCTCGTCTATTATATATCAACAAAATAATATAATTCACACTGTTTAATTGTACTCTACTGTTACGAAATACTAGCTTTCCGCCCGCAGCTTCGTCCGCGTGGAGTTCGGTTATATCGCGTTTCCAAGAGAACCATTCAAAAGTCGAGGATAAAAACTATCCTATGTTCTATCTCAAGGTCAACTCTATATCTGTACCAAATTTCATTAAAATCAGTTCAGTGGTTTAGGCGTGAAAGCGTAACAAACGGACAGACAGAGTTACTTTCGTATTTATAATATTAGTAGGGATTAGGATATACAACTTGAACATATGTAGTTATATATTAACGTGCCACCTAGAACTAACTGCACGATGTCGCTGTTGGTATGCGCGCATCGTAAAAATTCACTATCATCATTTTTCTCCATCGCGCCAAAATAATATAACTTCAAAAATAAATGAATATCGCCGGGGCGACATCGTTGTATGTATAAAATATATATAACGAGTGACGCCGCTGACTCCGCGGAACGAACACCACGCCGTGTGAACCAGAAGATTCCTGATACACACAAGCTATGGAGTGGTATTGCTATCATAACATCGGGGCAATCATGTAGTCTTAGGTACAGGTTATAAGTTGTAATATGTAATTCTTATTATAATATAAATATACATATAAGTAAGTTTCGTAGTTTTCCTGGAACTTCCAGTAGCTACTCTACATAATTTTCGAGAAAGTTTATATGTTGGTTGGTTCATACCATCTCTCTCTCTCATCATACAAAACGCAGCCATTAAAGGCTACTTCACGCCGATCTTCTATGAGAGAGTGTTGTTTCTATAGTTAATCTATCATATATATACTAGAAGACCCGGCGAACTTCGTATCGCCCTATAATCAAGAAATATCTGTTACGTTTTTTTATTTATACTTTTGGAGTTTACCTATTAAAGTCATAAATCTCCGTGTTTTGAAGTGCGACAGAATGATTGACATATTAGTTAGTTGTCAAATCTAATGTAAAAAAAACGTTTGTATCAACAACTGCTAATAAATTAAAAAAACATTATCCAGCGGACAAAATTGTGAATCTAAACAATTCCCAGATTCAATTGAACACACACAACAAATTTCATCAAAATCTGTCCAGTCGTTTGAGAGAAATTCAGAGACATACACACTCACAGAAGAATTATATATATAGAAGATATATAGTTGTTTCTCACTCTGTATCTTCTGCATGTTCTTGTTCATGATCTCCTTCTCCCTGTTCAGGTTCTCAATCTCCCTCCGGTCAGCTTCTGACTGTTTGTTGCTCAACATGATCTCTCTCTCCATCACAGTCACTTGCTGGCGCAGGTTCTCTCTGTTGTATTATGTTAGTTAGTCTGTGGTAGATTTTTATTTAGTTTATGAGTAAAAAACGAATCTACAGACAATTTTAGACATTATATGAGAGCATATATTGGAATTCATAGAAAGTAATGAGAGATTTTTAGGCATATATATATAGGTAAGTTAAATTTTATTGCCCTTTTTAAGAAACATCAAAATGAATTCTTAAAAATGTTATGATATTAAATTTTATGGAAGATATACTAACTACATAACTATATGAATATGTAAGTTGTTACTAATATTAATACTTTCTTTTATTTTAATTTTGATAACATTCTTAACTGACTTCAATTAATTCTAACTACTGTGTTTGTAGTTAGAATTAATTGAAGTCAGTTAATAGACAGTCTAGTAAATACGTGTATTATTCCTATATATAAGTTGTATATCTCTCAACCTGTCCATCTCCACGCCAGCCTTAGCCTGCTCCAACAGCTGGAACTTCTTCATATGCTGGAGACCCATCTTCGTCAACTTGGACACTTCGTTACGGAGTCTGTTACCATCATCTATTGTGTTCTGGAAAAATGATTATAAGGAAAATTATCTGAGTCTTTGTTGGCGCAAACTATTTGATTAAAACATTTGTTTTGTATGGATTCGTTAAAACTGTATAAAACTATTGATTATTAAGAGTACATTACCCATTAACACATATTGTAAAAGGAGTCTTTAATTTTATATTATCTTGATCTAATATTCATGATTCATATAAATGAAAAAACAAATGAATCCAGGAGAGATGCTTAACATTAATCATTAACATATGATCAGCGTATTTAGAACAAAAAATCTATGTGTATACAGCGTGACTGAATTACTATCAATATTTAAGGAGACTCGGTACATGATTCTCATTCGAATTATGTATCACTTAATCAGTTTCCGTATTAAATAAAGTACACGTTCCAAGTAAGTGTGGACGCGTGATACAACACCACGCGTAATGTAGAAACACACTGTAGGGTGGTTACACACACACACACACAACACTTAGACACATTACACACATATTAATTTTTACACATATGATCGTCAAATACACGTCCTCATACGATAGTAATTCATATAAAAAAAAATGTATATGTGTAAAAATATATTTTACTACTCAAATAAAACTTAAAAGTACCATATACATGTAAAAGTCATACTTTTCATATATCTACTATATCTTAATATACCTTTAACTCCTTGGTCGTATTAACGAGCGTCTGTTTCGTCTTGTCGAACTCAGAGTTAGTGTTGTCCAGTTGTTCTCTCAGCTGGGCAGCTTTGTTTGAAGCTGCTTCCTGATCAAGCTGTGCTTGTTCAAGCCTCATGCCCATATCTTTAAGCTGTCTGTCGCGACGTTCCAGAAACTTCTCCGTTCTACTGAGCTATAGTTATAACGATTTTAATGTAAATATACACGATAGATAGGAAAATAAATGAAAATATTCTAATTTTGATAATTAGCATAGTATATAGAAAAATTATAGGAACGATTTAAAAAAATTATAATTAATGAGATGTTGAATCCATGAAATGCTGAAAGTTTTTGCTCAGTCGGTCTCTTAAGTTTCTCATTAATTGATATTTTAACATTTTTTTTGTAAGTCATTGTTATAAAAGGTCGTGGGCCTAGTGGTTAAACCCCCGCCTCCAGTGTATAAGGGAACGGGTTCGATCCTGGCAAGTACAAATGTGACTTTTCAGTCATATCTACTTTCTAAGAGTATTTAGACATTTCTGACTAATGAAGAAAAACATCGTGAAAACCTATACTTATATTAAATTATAAGTTTGAAATCACCAACCCGTCTTGAGCAAGCGTGGTGATTAATGCTCAAACATTCTCCATGTGAGAAGAGGCTATGCTCAGTAGTGGGCTCTGATAGGCTTTAGCCAGGGTCTGCCTTACATGTTGTGAATAGTTTTGGCTAATAGTTTTTACGACCGGCTGCCGTAAACATAAACCCTCTTTGGGAATGTATTAATCAGTGATGTCTAAATACTCTTAGAAAGTACATATATGACTCGGAAAAATCAGATTGGTACTTGCCAGGAACGAACCCGCGCCCTCATGCATGAGAGGCGGGCCCTTTAACTACTAGGCCACGACTACCCTTATAAGTACCTTATCATTAAGACTCCCTATCGTAGCTCCTCTCCGCTCCACTTCACTCTTCATTAAGTTATTTTCACTCTTCAAATGTTCAACACCAGTCTGTTCTGACGGACCGCGTTATTATCGGCTTCCTGGAATTAATATGAACTTTGAAATAAACTGATTACTAAGAAAATGAGATTAAAGCTCGTATAAGCAAAGCTTATAAGAAAGTAAAGGTTATAGTGCAAAAAATCCTACTACATATATAATTGCGATAGTTTGTGAGTGTGTGTGCATGTTTGTTACTTCTTCACGCTCAAACGGCTGAAACGATTTTGATAAAATTTTGTATACGGGAAGCTGACGTCCAGGAATAACACATAGGCTTCTTTACATCCCAAAATCCGCGGGTAACACCGCGGGGCGCAGCTAGTAGGATCATAATAGTCAAAAGATTACACATATACACAGTCTGGCCATAAATACCGTTACAAATAGAAAAATTCTATATATTTTTTTAAATAATATTTATGGCTAGACTATGTATATAAGCGTAAATGGAAGTCCAACTAATATATTAAATAATAAACTTTGTGAGGATGTTTTTTGCTCTTTTACTCAAACAACTACGGAAAGTATTTTAGTCAAACTTTACAGTAATTTAGCTTAGTTAACACGATATTTATTCTAAATATGATTCTTTCAATCCTCGCTTTTTAATAGGATAAAGTCGTAATATGTATGTAGTTGTACCTTGTATTGTATATGAAATCATATGTCATGCCGGATGGTTGACATAACTATTGTTATAAAACAATACATTTCTCTGTGGTGGAACAATTGAAGAGACTCGCAAGGTGAAGTCACAAGCCAAATATAGTATATTACAATCTACGTAATGTACACATACTTAGTAAACAGCGATAAGTACTGTAACAATAAAATGTGATTTATAGATTAATCAAAGTCTGTCTATTAGATTCAAAGTTGAATTAAGAAGAAATTTTGGACACTGCTAATGTGATAAGGGAATAATAATAATATTTAAGTATATCGTTAGATTTGTTATCTATTCTAGAAAAGTCCGTATCTTAACACAAGTTCAAAATAATATTTCAAGTAATAAATATTATGCAATTATTCCATGATGTAAATTTCGTGTTATATGTTGTAATATTCTTTCTCCGAATCATATTTGTCCATATATATTACGTTAACTACATATAAAAAGTTTTCTTATTTAATCAGTGTTTTAAGCTTACTACAATACTGTTGTATTTTTTTATTTACTTTTTATAGCTATTTTTGTTTTTGAACCTTATTATTGCAGTTTAATTCAACTCGAAATTATTCGTTGAGTTTTTACAACTGGAAATAAAACCTCAAATATTACGTGTGTTTGTTGTTGAATAGTTTTTTATAACTACTTTTAATTGTATTGTCATAACAGCTCAGAATCGAATGTTTTGATATCGTGTCAAAGTATTGATAATGACTCATCAGGAAGTTTAGGAATTTCTGAGAAAAAATCACTTTAATTCACTCTCAGTGCCATGGCATTAAACTTTATCGATTTAAAGTAGATAATTTTACGTCTTATCCATAAAAAACTTCCAAGTGATTTTATTTCCTAAGAGCACTGAAGGGGTAGTAAAGCGTGTTTCATTTCAAGAGACACAACTAATTACATTTATGTGCCGCATACAATCTTTATATACCTGAATAGATTACTATTCGTTCAAATTTTAAAAAAATAAAAATAATCGAAGAAGTTTTTTTTTATAATGAAACTAATATTTTTCGATTTACTGCATGTAATTTATCATTTTAAACTAAATACTCCCGACTTTTCAGTTACTTTGCAGCAACCGTGATCACGGACAGAAAAGTACCCGGGAACGTCGTTATATAGTTTTTTTTAAATCAAAAATAAAGCCGCGTAGTACATATATCCGGAAAATATTAGTTTGATTTAAAAGTAATTTGTAGTTTCGTCCGTACCCTATGGTTACAAAATATTATCCGTACTTTCGTCCATATCAAAAAAAAAATCCAAAATATAAGTTTCATTTAAATGAATAAGACTCGAGAAAATCTTAGATCTCATTACAAATAACTTATTATTAATATAACTTGACTCCTATTACCTCTAACTGTTCTTCTAACTTCGCTATACTTTCTTCAGCGTGTGTGTTCCTTTGTTCCAATTCTTCTATGTAACTGAGAGCGTTCGTCAGTCTGTGTGTAGCTCCGTCTAATTCCCCTTGAAGACGAGCCTTTTCCTTTTCAAATTTCTCCTTTTCCTTAACGGCTGACGTCGCACCACTTAGATTAAAAGAGCCTTATATTTTCTTATTAGGTAAAATTGGTATTACTTTTAGTCCTCTAAGGTGTCTCAAGTTAATTCCTATTAAGATCAAAAAAGACTTACATAATATCTTATTATTGCGATTGAAATGAGTCTTATTTTAGCCAAATCATTGCAAATTAATATTAAGATTTTTTTATTTAATCATTGTAATTCTTACCGTCAGTGTCTTAAATCGTGTATGTGATAGAAATAGAAGTGTTTATAACATATGTCGTTGTGGATAGTGCAAATCTTCGTAACTAGCATTGAATAATTCCGCGTATATTCATTGAAAGTAGATTATCAGAAGAAAGTTTAAGCCGAAATATTTTCTATATAAACGACTTTTAAGTAAATTTTTTCATAATTAGTTATTTTTTAGTGTTTATTTCATGTTAAACTTTCCTCTGATAATCTGCTTCTTATATAGATACGCGAAATTATCCAATGCTAGTTACGCGGATTTGCGCTATCCACGACGATATACAGGGTGACTGGTGAATTACTATCGATACTTGAGGACGTGATATTTGACGATCATATATGACAAAATAAAAATTAATATAACATAAATATTAATAAACTTCTAAGTAAAGTTAACCAAAAGTTATATAATTAATTACGCATCGTGTGAACACCCTACAGATTAGGTATACACACACACACACACACACAACGTGCTGATACAACACCACGCCGCCGCACGCGTCCACACTTGGAACACTTGGAACGTGTCAACACTTTATTTATTTATACGGAAATTTTGTCAAAAATTAAGTGCCTATTTTTTTTTACATAATTCGAATGAGAATCATGTACCGAGTATTCTCCTTAAATATTAATTCACCAGTCACCCTGTATATGTATAGAGATGGTCATTATATTAATGTACGTACATATATGTAAGGTGTATATATATAGTGTATAGCTGTAATTTTCTACTGTAATTATTAGTATTAAGACGACTTTTTACTTTTGTTTTTGATGTCGCAGACAAACTCTTATTACGAGCCGTCCAACCGTCCTTGGTGGGGCCGGAAGGGATGTGTGAGGCTCGGCCTGGGCAGGCCCCTACTCACTAAAACCACTGCGAAAGTCATCGGCCGCTATGTCGGTGTACCCTGGATCTGTCAGCGACAGAGCACAGTATTAAGACGTCTAGGAACTCTTATATACTCACACATCATCATCCCCAGCCTTCTTCCTCGCGTCTAATTCCTTTTCAAGCCTGGTAACAGTCTTCTTCATAGTTTCAAGACTTTCAACACCAGCTAGTTCCCTGGAATGCATCGCGTCTGCCAATGATCTGGCTTCATCTGGAAATGATAAACATGATGATAAGAACCACACTATGTCACTAATGAAATAATTAAAATGTTATAGAATATAAGTTAAATATATTAGTGTCATCTATGATAATGTTTGTGTTAACGTAATTTTTTGTTTTTATGTATGGTGAAATAAAAATTTTGTTTGTAGCGTATCTTCAACACGAGACACGAGTTTTAATAAAACCTAATAGATTTTTTTTAATTTATTGAGCACTAGTAAAAGATATTGTTTGGTATTTTCTTAAAGAGATTTCCTATTTTTTAACTATCATGATCAGCCTATCAGAGCCCACTGCTGAGCATAGACTCTTCTCACATGGAGAAGGCTTTAGCATTAATAACCACGCTTGCTCAAGATAACTAAATAATTTGACATGATAAATCCAGGTTTCCTCACGATGTTTTCCTTCATCTGTCAGTGGTGTCTAAATACTCTTAAAAAGTACATACATATGACTGAAAAGTCACATTGGTACTTGCCAGGATCGAACCCGCGCCTTTATGTGCGAGAGGCGGGCCTTTCACCATTAGGCCCCCACGACCTCTTTTAACTATTATAACTATATTTTGATTTGATTGTAACTAGTATTTTACTAAAATTAGTTTAAAGATACATATTAGTTTCTTACCAATTTCAGCTCTCAGTTGTTCTATAGTTTTAGCTGAATCTGATATTTCAGTCAAGTATTCCGATACTACAGAGTCATAACGTCCCAATTTCCCCTGATCATTGAAAAAAATCATTTACCAATATAGAAACAAGATATTAAACATATAAGTTAAACAAATATTATTATTTTCATATAAAAACTAAGTATTAACCAAAAGTTTTGTTTTGTTTTTATAATTGTAAAATCGAGTTCATTCTTCTTCAAAATTAGATTTTAAAATATATTATTCACTAAATAAAATAACACAAACTCATTTAAATCTAAGCAATAATTTCTGAGACAAAGTAAATAAAGTCTTTAACATTTTTTAAAGTATTTCAAACAATATCTTAATCTCATTTTGGGTATGACAGTTTATTTTAGCCAAGTTATCAACCTGAAGATATGCGATTCTATCCTGATGCTTGAAATTTTCTTCCTTCATCTTGTAATACGAGTCGTAAAGCTTGGTGTACACATCTGAATATAGTTTCAGGCCTTCAGTCTCTCGCATCTGCTCCAGGACCTTAAAAAAAGGGTGAATAGAATAAAATTTTTGTTGATCCAAGTAGATGTGATGTTAATGTAAAAACAACTTTATTATTTTTGTATTAAAATCCAGAATAAATTGAAAACTCTTGTAAAATAGTATCTAAAAAATAATCCATATATTTTATTGAATATTCCACAAAGGCTTGTTTTTTCTATGTTTTTTTTGAATAAGTCGAGATATATTCGGTAACGTTCATTACTGAAAATGGCTAAAAAAAAATCTAAGTATTTTTTTGTAGACTCTGTAGTTCATATTTGGAAAAATCGTATCGTAACTCATAAGTATTTATTTTTAAGAAACATTGAATTTTTTAAAACCTTAATCCCCTTCTTATATTTTTTGCATATAATAAAACATTGTTGATATATTATCAACTAATGCAAAGTGGACATATCACTTAGAAAAAAATTTATGGTGAAATTTGTTTTTGTGAGAAGTGTAAATGGTACTCTTAGATTAAAACAGTTTAACTTGTTTATGTTTTTAAACTTTTTTGCCTAATAATATTGAAAACGAATTTAATTCGATGTAGTATCATGTAATTTAAAATTGACAGCTTTTTATAAAATTACATAAAAAATATTTTCTTGAATTTTATATCCTAAAGGATAAATATTTCTAAATTAATATCAATAATAAATAATTTTTATATATTGTTTTTTTTTGCTATTGATATAAATCAATTTTTTTGTACGGATTTAAATGTTATTTAATTAAATATTTGTATAATTTATAATTAATAAGTTATTCAAGGATTACAATTAATAACTATAAAGAGCTTTCAAATATACATATTTTTTTGATAATATTTTGATATTAACTTCAATTTATATTTTTATTTTAATTTATTAATTATTTCTTCATATTAACTCGAATATTAAAAACAATATTTGAATTTTAAAAAATCCTGTTAGAAAAATCTATCATAAGTCATAATAATATCTAGGATTTTCCCATATACCTACTCGTGAAATTAAACTATATTTTTCGGATACCACGCGTTTATTATTTCATATCTACATAATTCTGTCTATTGACTGACACTTTCATTTCATCTTTGTAATCACGGTTTTAAAGGAACCGAAACGTCGGGATCATGCAGATATAAAATAATAAAAAACCATAGTATAAGAAAACCTTAGTTTCATTAAAATCATCATAACCCATCATACTTTTTCAAATTCCTTTTCAGCCTCCGTAGTCTCCGAACCGATGGTGATGGCTGCCCCGAATTCTTCTTCATCATCCATATTTGATCACTTAATATAATAGCAAAATAACCAGAAAAATAACACTCAAAAAAGTAAACAAGTCACTATATTACGTGGTCGCTATGGTTACGGTTTTGATAAGCCGTTGTTTTGAAGGTTGCCAAGAAAACGATACGTCATACAAACAAGTATGCTTTATTTTTCTTTTATTCATACTTTTTTGACCATAACCATATTATCTTCTATATATATTACATATATATATAAAAAAGAAAATTGTCTTAGTTAAAATTTTTAAAACTCAAGAATTGCTGTAGAGATATGGTTGAAAATTAGTAGAGATATAGCTTAGAACTAGGCAAAGAACATAAGATAATTTTGATACGATTCTAAAAGGAATAAAATAAGTTGTTCAAATCCAAAATTTTCTTAACTGTCTGTCTTTATAAAGTTTACGCCCGGTCATCTATACATTTAAAATTTTGAAACTAATGCAGACGAAGTCGCGGCCAAAAACTAGTTATATTTGTAAGCTTAACACAAGTTTGCGTCGTCACACTACACACGAAATGTTTCCCGTCTTTCTTTCAACAATATTACTATTATATATAATAATAATTGACATTAAATTGTAATCCATATAACAGATTGCATAGGTCCTTTTTTTCATAAACTTTCGTTTTAGATATTTTTATATCATAATTTAAAGATGTAATTTTATCCTGAAAATAATATTTGATTTTATCGTGCAACCATTAAAATCTAATAAATCAATAATATATTTTAATTATCAAGTATGTCTATTAGAATTAATTATAATAAAAACTAGAGTTTAAATATATATAATAAAATAAAGAAGGCGAGAGCAGAGGCCAATAATATTGTAAGAAACGAAATATTCTCCATTGCATTGCAACCACAAATTACTATTCCATATTGAAAAACGACAGGTCTATTAACAGCAGCTCTTAAACGATGTCCTTTTAAAAGAACAAGTGAGTTGAAATTGATTCGGTAATAGAATAATTGTGGGGGAAAAAATAATAATTGTTTGTAATGAGGATGTCAACGATTCAGTTAACTAACTCACTAACTAGTGAGGCTGGAGATTTAATGCTGAGAAAATTGTTATAAATAAATACATATAAATGAAGCTAGTATTTTCGGATTGACTACGTAATTTTTATTTTTGACTAGAAGACCTGGCGAACTTCGTATCGCTCTATAATCAAGAAATAACTATTACGATTTTTAGTTATATTTTTGGAGTTTACTTATTAAAGCAATAAATCTCCGTGTTTTGAAGTGCGACAGAATGATTGACATATTACTTAGTTGTCAAATCTAATATAAAAAAAAAACCGTTTGTATGGGAAATAGAAAAGGGCTGTTTTTATGGTTTTCCCAGTAATGAATCAAATTTTTTTCAGCTTTTATACCTTCCCTGAACCTCCACGAACATTTCAAGATCAAGATAAGATAAATCCGTTCAGCTGTTCTCGAGTTTTAGCGAGACTAAGGAACAGCAATCCATTTTTATATACATATATATAGAAGATTATAAACTACATACTCCCGACGTTTCGGTTAATTTACAACAACCGTGATCACGGACAGACGAAATGTCTGAAAATCCGAAAATATTAGTTTCATTTAAATGAATACTCGCGAAAAAGTTAGATCTCATTATACATACATATAGCTAGTAAAGATTTATTTTAATTTTATATATAAACTAATTTTTGCTCGCGACTTCGTCAGCATTAATTTTGGCATTAGCAATACAGGTATAGCTAACCGGCGAACTTTTTTCGTCTTAGATGCCGTAAATAACCAGATATTGGAGTTTACTAAGTTTGTTTCTTTTTCGTTTGAATAGAATTAAATATCCTATGTCCGTCTCCTGGTTCTAATCTATCTACTCACCAATATTCAATCATATCCCTAACGCAGTTTTTAAGTTATAAACAATGTAATATTTCTCGTGCTCATCTTCTGAAGATTTTCAAAGCCTATCAAGTAACCATTCTTCACTGGATAATTCGTTTACAATTGGTCAATATCTCTGTTCCATTTTCACTAATAAATTACATGGTCTTAACATAGTTCACATTAATGCTCAAAGCATTCCGGCTCATTTTCCCGATTTTCTAGCATCTTTTAGCGGTATCTTAGTTGATTGTATTCTTATTTCTGAGTCCTGGCTAAAGCCTTCTCTCCCTTCTGCCCTTTTTCATTTACCTGAATTTACTTTAATCCGGAACGACCGGACTGGTAAAGGCGGTGGAGGCGTCTGCATTTATCTCAGAAATAATTTTAATTTCAAGATCATAAGTCAATCTCCTTCCACACACTCTGGTAGTTTAGAACATCTTTTCATTGAGATCCGCTTGAAGCATACTTCACTCCTTGTAGGGGTGGCATACAGCCCTCTACCCACTATTAATTATTTCGATGCCTTCGAATCACTCTTAGTAAATTTATCTCCCGCTTATAGTGACACAATAATCATGGGTGACTTTAATACGTGCCTATTAAAAAATGATTACAGGACTCAGAAATTATATTCTTTGGTTTCATCTTTAAACATGTCAATCCTTCCCCTCTCTGCTACCCATTTTCCACCTAATGCTAATCCTTCTCTTTTAGACTTAATAATTACTTCTCAAACGTGTAATGTATTTTCACATGGACAATTGACTGCACCTTTCTCCTATCACGATCTGTTATATCTACGCTATAATGTTAGCACTCCTAAACGTAGACATAAAGAAATTCTGCATCGCAACTTCAGAGACATTGATATGGGGCGTCTGCATGTTGATGCCGTAAATTTGGACTGGTCTAGTGTGTACAATGTACCTGACATAAACAATAAAGTATCTTTCTTTACTTCATTGCTTATTGGATTGTACGACGTCCATGCACCAGTAAGACCAGTCAGAGTTAAGCATTTACCTGCTCCATGGCTTTCCTCTTCAATAAAGAATGTAATGACCAAACGCAACAAAGCCATACTGAAATGTAAAATGTATCCAACAGCTGAGAATGTTACTGCCTACAAGAAATTACGTAACCTATGTAACAGATTGTGCAGGGACGCTAAACGACGCTTTATTTTTAACTCAATCGAATCTCTTTCCACGGCTCAAACATGGAGATTCCTAAAAACTGTTGGCATTGGTAAAACTGATACACACTGTAATAACACAATTAATCTTAATGACCTTAACAAACACTTCTCTTCTCCTCCTTCCACACTTCTAACCTCTAAAAAAATTTCTTCTCTTCAAAAACTTGCTGCTATTCCAGCTCCTACATGTCTCCCGTTTTCTTTTCAAGATGTCGCAGAGGAGGACGTTAAGAAAGAGATACTTTCAATTTCTTCAAAGGCCGTTGGCAGTGACGGCATAAGCCGGGACATGTTAATTCCCATCATTGATATAATCTGTCCCATTATAACTCATATTCTTAATTTCTCCTTAACCAACAAAGTCTTTCCTACTGCATGGAAAATGGCACATCTCATTCCTCTGCCTAAATCCCCTAATCCCAGTTCTTTTTCACATTTTCGCCCTATATCCATTCTTCCCATTCTTTCTAAAATTCTTGAGAAAGCTGTTTCAAAACAGTTGTCCTCTTTTCTCCTCAATAACAATCTCTTAACTTCCTTCCAATCTGGTTTTCGTCCTTCTCACAGCACAACCACTGCTTTACTCAAGGTTACTGATGATATCCGTTACGCAATGGACAACAAACTGCTTACTGTTCTCACTTTACTCGACTTTAGTAGCGCATTCAATTCAGTGGACTTTGACTTATTGCTGGGTGTCCTCCGCTCTCTTAACATTTCCTCCTCTGCGATTGATTGGTTCCATTCTTTTCTCTATGACCGTCAACAACGTATACGTTGTGAGGTGAGTCACTCTGACTGGACAAGACTCTCTGCCGGAGTGCCGCAAGGCAGTGTTCTATCACCTCTGCTGTTCTCGGTATTTATCAATCAAATTACTTCAATTATTTCTTCACACTATCACCTCTACGCTGATGATCTGCAGATTTACAGACATGCCTCACTGAATGAATTAAATGACGCTATTGGAAAAACTAACAATGATCTTGCTTTAATTAAAGATTGGGCTGACTCATTTGGGCTGTTAGTTAACCCTTCTAAATCTAAGGTCATGATAATTGGTAGCAGACAGCTTAGAGGACGAATTAACTTTGGTGAACTACCCTTGGTAGTTTATGATGGTTTACCCATAAGTTATGTAGATAAGGCTAAGAATTTGGGCTTAACTTTGGACTGCAATCTGTCCTGGTCTGCACATATCAATGATATCAGCAAACGTTTGCATCATTCTATTCATTCTTTGAAGCGATTGCAGAATTTCCTCCCACTAAAAACGAAAACTATCTTGGCTCAATCTCTCTTACTCCCTCTCCTCGACTATGCCGATGTCTGCTATTTAGATGCTACGGATGAGCTACTTGACAAACTCGAACGACTTCAGAATTTATGCATTCGATTTATATTTGGACTGCGCAAATTTGATCATGTCTCCCATTTCAGACGTCAGTTAAAGTGGCTTCCGATTCGTTTTCGCCGTAATGTACATGTTTTGACCACACTTTTTAATATATTAAATCACTCAACTCCACACTATCTTTACGAACGATTCAAGTTCTCTGCACCGCGTGAAAGACCACTTCGATCTTGTGTCTTGAACAAAGTTTTTGATATACCCCCTTATAATGGTATTTTCTACAAAAAATCCTTTACGGTGGTTGCTGCTCAACTTTGGAATTCTCTTCCGGGCTATATTATAAAAAATTGTAATTCTGTACATACATTTAAACTCAGATTAAAAAAATATTATCTTTTAGATTCATCACAACATTAGAAGTTAGATATATATGTATATATATATGTATATTTTATTTTGTATTTGTATGTATATATTATTTGTATTTATGTAAATAAATATGTAGTTTATAATAGTTTTATGTATATTTAAGTATGTTTATGTAAAGTAAAA